GGACTGTCATTTGTGATCTTAAAATAGATTAGTTATCAAAAACTAGTCAAATTGAAAGGTTTTCACAGAAGATTTTTTTTTTGTTCCGATGTATTTTTTTTTTTGTTTCTTAGTTGCTGTCATACTTTGTTTACAGCTTAGCAACTGTCTATATAGAGTTCTGTGTAGTTCTACAAAAGAACAGACTTAATCTTTAAGAACTGTATATTGTTTATTTGTAATTTGCTTGTATAACTGTCAAGTCTAAAATTCTCTCTAACCGTACTTTGACAGTTAAAAGGGTCATCCCAGTCTGTGTTGGCATCTTTAGATCATTGGTGAGGTTAAATGAAAGCTGCAGGCAGTGGATATTTGCATTTTAAACTGAGCAACTTGCAGAAAATGCATCAAAATTGTTGTATTTGCTTGAGTGAAAACTTTTGTTACACTACTGCGCTTTGTTTAAAAAAGAAAAAAACATGACATGCAATATTTCCCATCTGACAACATGGCTGCTTTGTCTCATGTCGCCACTCTGTCCCACACATCCACAGTCATGCAGCTGATATTGTTACCTGCAGGTTCCTCCATAACAAGTTGTCAAGTGTTGAACAATGATGCATTTTTATTTTTATTTTTATTTTGTACGTTTGCTTGTCTTATACATAAAAACGAACATACTGTTTAATTTAAGCAAATGTGAAATCCTTTTTCCTCTTTTCCTTAAGGTTCAGTTTTGATTAATATTCAACATTGATCTAAGGTGCTGGTGACAAAGTGTGCCAAAGGATAACCCTTATTAATAAAGACTACACATGATCAAAATCGTTTCGGTAATTATTTGACTTTCTATTATGAGTGAATTATGTTTGCAATTCTCACTAACTGAAAGATTGATTTGGTGAATATGGCCTTTATCTCCATATGTTTTTTTTTTATGTATTTAAGTTTCTAGAACAACAATTGCTGAGCAAGTACATAATTCAGTTAAATAAGATATTAGACTTACTCGAGAAGGAGTTGGTTATTTTAAGGCTTTTTGACTTTAGGTAGTCTCTACAAAAGAAGGGCGGGGGGAAGTTGAAGAGGGAAAACCTTGCCAGGAGGGGTCATTAATAACGCAAAGATCCTGTTGGTGGTTTGGCCTTCACTTTCAGATCTTAACCCCGAGGGAACTTCATCATAGAATTGGACAGAGCAGACCAGCAAGTTGATTAGAGGGGAAAAAACAAGTTTTACTAATAGTTTTGCAAAAGTGTAAATTAAAATCTATGGTGTGGCATTAGGGCTGCACAGTGACACAAGTGGGTGGCATTGCCGCCTTGCAGCAAGAAGGTCCTGGGTTTGATTGCCCATCTGGGCTCTTTTTGCATGGAGGGTCACATGTTCTGCATGTGCATGTGTGGGTTCTCCCCAGGTAGTCTGACTTCCTCCCAAAGACTGTTTAGGTTGATTGGCATCTCTAATTTCTCTTTAGGTGCGTAAATGGTTTTGTCCTGTTTGTCTGTGTTGCCCTTTGAAAGAATGGTGACCTCTCCAGGGGGTACCCTCCTCTCGTCCATTGAAAGCTGGAGATAGGCACCAGCACCCCTAGTGACCCCAGCAGGGGGGTGGATGAATGGATGGATGGTTGTGCCATTAATACTATTGACACTCAAAACCCCCCGTCAAAACAATTTTGTATCGATGACTCAAGTAAACTCAAGTAAAATGTAGCTTGGCTTAACCAGTTATCTTTTAAAATATATCTTAATTTAAACATTAAGATTAAATAAAGGGGATTTCTAATCTTCTTTTTTTTTACTGCAGAGTGGATACATTTTTATAAAATATATTTGAAAATAAAAGATACAAAGACACTTGTTTTCAGAACTCATGTCAGATTAAAATTAACTACCAAAATATGTACTGACCAGATATACATAAAGGAAATGCTCATTTTTTTTTGTTTTAAGTTCAAAAACTGCGTTTTGCCACTCAGCTTTTTGCATATCCAGATGCTTATGGCAGGGCATATTGACATTTGTTATTGTTGTGCCATATGCCGGGATCATACTTTTTGGTCATTGGGAACCAGTGTCCACATTTCATTTTGACATGATGATGTGAAATCAGCTGTGGAATCTCTGCAACAACCCTGTTTCAGCCAAGGCCTCTACAGGCAAGTCACATGGCAAGTCATAGAGGTGTGACCAACCACCACCCCCCTCTGGTTGAGGACAGACAAAATCACAGAGCACAAAAATTCTTTTTCTTTTTGCCTCCTGTGCTCTTTGTCTCCTCTCCCTTGCCCAGGAAGCTGGGGTCCGCTTTAGCTGGTTCCAAGGGCGTAGGTTTGATTTGAACTTTGGTAGGGACACTATTGGTCTGGTGTCATTGGTGCTATGCAATATGCATGCCCTTTTTTATGCTCAATGTGAGCATCCGTACTGATAAGAGGAATTCATTGTTAAAAGAGAAAAGCAACATTTTGCTACATTAATAAAAATGTTATAAGCTCTACACTCATTAGATGCTGTTTATCAATGTTTGAAGCATCACTGGCTCTGAAGAATGTGGAATTAGGACTGTTTTCCACTTTGAAAACGGTTTCATTTGAACGACTAAGAGAGAAGGTAAATACAGTATTTTCTTTTGAAGATATAGAATTGTACAGAGTTAAACCCCACTCTAATATTTGTACCTACTATGCTCTCTCTGTATCAAGCAAAATAATATATTCATTAAAATATTAACTTCACTATAAAAGTTGAACATCTGGGCTATAGTTACTCTGTGTAGCCCATTTCATGTATTTCATCTGGGGCTGAAAAAAAATGAATCATATTGATTATTTCAATAATCGTCAACTAATTTAGTAGGTGATTCATCATTAACTGGAGTATAGAGACTTTCAAACATACAGTAATATAAATGTAAAATGTGTGTGGGAAACCACAGAGCAACCCACTTAGATAAGTTATATCAAAATTGTAAAAAGAAAAAAAAAAATGAAAACAGTAATATAAACTAAATATCGGTAAAAAGGAAACCCTCACATTTTCTTTCTTAATTGGCTGTTGCTAAGAATCAGAAATGTTGATGGCTTATTTGCCCATTTTTCCAGCAGTCTTCAGAACTCCTGGCTGACTCAGAATATTTCGTTTTATGAAAAAAAAAAAAAAAGGTTTTTGTTTTTTAGTGTACATGATATTCATTTTTTTTATTGGGACTAGTTTTGTAGCCTAATATTAATTGTAGTAACCGCTGCATTCTAGTGTGAATAAATTTTCAATGTTGTGCTCCAAGCACACGCGGACTAGAAAACAGCCAATCAGAGAGAGAGAAGGCGGAACTTAAGCCAGAACAACCAATGAGAGTGGAGTTAAACAGCGCAACACAGTTCCATGCGCTGCTAGGTGAAAGGGACAGGAGAGACCAGGCAGAGGAGCTGCGAGAGGAAAATAAGCCACTGCTGCAACAACTACTGCTGTAAATTATAAACACGTTGCTCACATCCAATTATTGGTAGGGACAATTAGGACGGTTCAAAATTTTGGTAGGGACATGTCCCTATGGTCCCTATGCAAACCTACGCCCATGGCTGGTTCTCCACCACAGTGGAGATGCGGGAACCAGATCTCCAGAACCATCAAGGATAAGTCCGAACCTTTCAGAACCAACCTGCTGCAAAACAGAACTTTTGCAACACATTTCTCTTGAGTTTCAGAACTTATAGAGCCAGACTGGAGAGAAGGAGTGCCTTGATGAACGACTGAGACAAAGAACCCCGTGTCTCTGTCCTTAGTGCTGAGCTGCAACTGGATGAAACTTAAGCTCTCCAAATGGAAACGGAAAAAGGTTTGCAGGTCTGGCATGATTTGGGACAGAACAAACAACATGTGTTTACTGATGAGTAAAGTCAAGCTAACAGAATAGACTGCATGCTACACTATGCTACAGGAATATGTGTTGAGCTGTTGCTGAAGCTTGGACAAGCTTTATTTCACAAAAGGTTTTAAACACTGGTATAACATTAGTGTTCATGTGTTCCTCAGCTCATCATTACATTTCCATTACTAAGTCTGACCAAGAGTCATTTAGTGGAATCCTGATGTCTATTCGCTGCTAGCTATTTCAAAGAGGGTAAAGAATCAGTTGACTAAAGGTTTTTGGTTCTTGATTAAGCAAATCATTTAATAAAACATTATTTGGCCAAATAATGTTTTATTCACCTCATGGTGAATTGGTCTGAAAACATTCCAATTTCTTTAAAATTAGTGAAAAGCTAATTTGATCATATCCCAAATTCTTCCAGATAAACTATGGTTTCAAACACAAAATCCATCTTGAACTGTAATATGGTTTCCAACCATGTTTTCCCTTCCTCTTTGTACATAATAGTTTAGTTTAGTTTTATTATTCTTAGCTGAGAGTGTTAAACTGAAATATGTTTGACTTGGAGCTAAATTATTTTTGATAAACTCTTATATTTTGAACAGAAGTTGTGGTGAATTTATTCCGTGTGTGCAGAATTAACTGTTTGACCTCGATTAGTGCTCGAATCACTCATCTATTGTTCTAACACACAGGAAGAATGTTATTTTAGATATCTGAAATGGTTATTTTGACTAGGAAGAAATGCATTTGAGACACCTGGAATATATTCAGCCAAGCTAAGAAATGTCTAAAGGGCCACTTAAAATTTGTAGATTTGTAAGTATTTGAAAGTTTGTTCTTACTAGTACGATTATGTTCTTTGCAGCCTGGATTGTAAATTTTTGCTAGCAAAAATGTAATTTAGAATATCTATATGTACATTTCTTGCTAGTAGGAATGTAGTTTTGACTAGAAAGAATCTTATTTTAGAGATCAACGAATGGAACAATAGAGAGGACGTCGCTTCTAATAAATGTCAATTCGGCCTGCCATAGTCACTGCTGATATCCATCCTTCCGATGACGATACAACTGACGTCTCGCGAGACTCGGCGCAGTTTTCCCAACCAGCAAGTGGTGTTTGCGCGATAGAGACGAGGAAAGATGGCGACGCAGGGGAGCGATTCATCTAAACCTACCGCAAGCAACGGAGAGGTAAAATGAATGACAGTCGCTCAGTTGTTTTTTGCTTGATAGTTTCGGTTAGCTATAGTCTGTTTTACTGTTTTAACGTAGAAGCTTGAGTCCCTAACATTTAACCGTGTCAGCGGTCGCTGCCCTCGCTAGCTTCAGTGACGTTGTCAGTGCCGGTTGGTTTTAAAACGACCTCCCGTCGCCGCTTACGGTCGGTTGTGAAACCGGTGCTGTTAGCTAGTCGAGATACTGGGCAAATGTGGTGTTTACAGTGAAAAAATATTATATTGGCATAATCGCGACAGTCTGTTGAGTTGCTCGTGTCAGTGTTTAACCAGCTGACAACCGCAGCGTGACAGTTAGCTATCACAAGGCCTGAACCTGATCAGCACAGCATGGTTTGATTAACTGGGCCAGTGTGTTCCCACTCATTTCAGCCTCCAGTTAAATCTTCTCACATGTTAATTTTCTCCTCAATCTCCAACTTGATCGTTCACCTGACAGACACTTTTGGTAATAAGGCTGATCAGATGAAATAACCAGATGTAGCTTAGCCATATATTGCCTAACAAGGTTCCTACGCAGTCTCCGTAATGAAAAAGTAAGGGCATAGCTTAGGTTCTGTAGTTTAGTTCCAGTTTATCCTAGAACATATAGCTATAATTTTTGAAGACCATTTATGGCTTGTGAAATGTATACAAATAGACAATTTCAGTGCTTTTTTTGGCATATAGACTTTAAATCGGTTTAATTTCTGTGGGATTGAGCCTGAAAGGAATCATACCACAAACATTTTTAAAAGGTTTACGTTAAACCTTTTTCTCTGAAAGGGCAACATTTAAATTAGGCTGGTTGATCATTTTGATTGCTAAGGATAAATTACACAAGCTAGCAGGGGGGAGATAATTAATACCTTTAGTGTTTTTTCCCCTTCTTTCTCATTACAAAAAAAAAAAAAAAACATTTTTAGTTTACAATAAAAACATTTAGTGAAAAGTCAATGCAGATATTTTGCCATAATTATTTTTGTTGCATAGGACTTTATTGTTTTACTTTAGGTTGGAAAATAATTTAATAGAATGAACTAAATTAGGTAAAAGTTTAGATATTTGATTTAGAACATTGAATTACAAAAATAGCCAATCTTCTTTCTTCAATAGTCTGTGCATTTATAGTAATTGTTTTGCACTGAAATGTAAAATAAAATGTACAAATAAAATCTACTGGAATATTTCCCCACCGAAAGTCTGAAGGTTTGACATGGTAATTGGGTATCACTATTAATGGGATATAAGGGTTTCTTAATTCATACAAATATTTGTTAGGAATCTTCCTGTCCAATTCCTGAAACGCCAGGACACTTTGCACAAAATAACCTAAATATTAAGAGGAAAAAGAATCCGGCTTTGAATAAAAATATGAAATTTTATTTATATATATATATATATATATATATATATATATATATATATATATATATATATATATATATATATATATATATGAGCTATTTTCAGAGTATTTCCAAAGACATTCAAAGGCGAATAATGAAAGTTATAGACTTTACAAACAACTTAGATATCCTGCTTTAAAAACCCCTTAGTCTCATAGTTGTTATCTATGCCTAATAAGTGTAGTTTGTCTCTAAGGGGCAGTTTTTTGCAGAACAAACATGTCATTAAAGGTCACTGTGAATCACTACATTAAGCCTCTACTCCTGTGTGCTGGAGTCTGGGACATGGCATCATATCTCACCAATAGATAAAATGGCATAGTCGATGAACCCGGTTTAGCTTTTTGCGATCTTTAAAACCTTTGTAAATATCTTGTATTTTAATTATACCAAGTCTCACAGATTAAAAAAGGTTTCTGTGTTTCTAAAAATGTCAAAATTTAAGTTTCAGCTATAAAGACAAGAAAACTTTGCATGTTTAGGAATCCAAATGGAGTCTTTAGGGATAATGACAATGTATTTTATCTATCTTGATTATCTGTTTTACACTCCAACAGGATGTGAAAGAATTTTAGTTTAGTCTGTTTTAAATATTGCATAGAAACTCTTTCCTTTTTTGAATGGTTATTAAAAGTTTGTCCTCTTTTAATCCCAGATAGAATGGTAAAACTAATGTGTGGCATTTACCTAGAAGTCTAAGATGGCCTAGTTAATAATTAAACTTTGTTCAGAATGTGTAATTTATTATCTTAAGGTGAAGAGAGAACTTTTCTTTTTTTTTATTATAGTTGAGTGTATTTTTGGATTTTTCCAGTCCAGTCCAGGAAACAGAAGTCCATGCACCGGATAATTGGATTTGTTTAAATTTCACATAGCAGGATGTTGGAGCATGGATGAAAAGCCTTATTTATGTCCCCTTCATAGATTTGAATGAAGAGGTTTCAAATGTAACAAAGCTAGTTGGAAACTTTAAATCTTCACATTTCTTGTTGCCTTTGCAATCTAAAAACATAACCTGTTGAAACAGATAACATTTTTAGCCAGCCATTGGTTTCCCTAGTGTTTGTAACAACCGGACAGATGCTTAGATAGTGAATAAGTCTTATGACTTAGCATGTCTCATTCTTATGTGACACTTGAATAGAATATGGCCAGAGAGGTGGGGGTTACATTGGCACGCTGCAGATTGGGTGACCACTAATAACTGGTTTTACTGATCATTTACAGCCACTATGACTTTCAAATGAATATGAACTGGAGGTCATATATATATATATATATATACTATGTACCCACAAGTATTAATTAATCTAAGTGAATAATTCAAATCAAGTCTTCCAATTACTTTCATGGCCAGAGTTGTTTAAAATGAAGCCCCAGGCATTCTAATTGTAACTACAAAACATTTAGGAATGAATGGATCGCTCTCAGGAGCTCAGTGAATTGTAGCGTGATACTGTGATAAGATGCCACCTGTGCAAGAAGACTAGTCATGAGACCGTCAGCCCTAAATGTTCCACTATTAAATTTCAGTGGTATCTTGACAAACTGTGAAGCTTCTTTCCCACTGAATATAGAGGGTTTACAGGTGTTTTTCAAACATGGGTGGACCAACTAAGTCTGGTGACACCATCACTGTGTGTTAGTGTTGGAGATATCACTCATGCGACATAAATCACTAAAGAATGGAGAGCAACATGTAAGGAAGTCAGGGTGTAGTAAGTGTACTTTATTATTTTGTTCTATTATCTTTCCAAATCTCTCTTACTAGTGCTGTGTCATATTTAACAAAAGTTATCAGAGTTGTTTTGTTGTGTTGACTTCCGTACGTTGTGTTCAATGGTGTCACTTAAATTAGCGGGTTAACCCGGGTCTGGTTTTCCCTCAGTATGCTGATCAGAGCCGAGGCGATTTTAACACTGGTCGCTTGCCGAGTTGTTTGACCCGGGTAGACACATGTCAGGGAGCTGTTCCCACTGCCACTAAAAGCTGATTGCTCCCAGGTTTAATTGGGTTTTTCGGCCAGGGGAAAGGGGTATATGTGATCGGGAAAGACAGCAACTATATTGTGTGATCCTTTATTGGGGGTTGGCCTCTTAGTTCCTGTGGAAGCAACTAAATTCTTCAGCATTCCAACAGATTTGAGACAGTTTCATGCTTCCATCTTTGTGCGAAGGGTTTGGAAATTTCTCTTCTAACATTAGACATGTTGTCCTGAGACCATCTTAATTGCGCTCTCTTAAGAATATTTTAGACCATAGACTGACCAAGCTAGACCTTCTTGTTCAACATCAGACTATGGCCTTACAGACGTGTTTCTGAAAGAATTGACAAGACTTCCCATAAACATGCTCCTAAACCTAAAAGTAGAATGCTTCCTGGTTTATGCTCAGAAACCAGGTCATCTGCGTGTTACAGTTAACGCGGATATGCGTCAAAATCTTGCTTAGAATTACCTCTAAGAAAGATCAGTTATTATAAATCATAGCTCCTTTTTATTATTATTTTTTTTTTCAGATCAACAAGAGGAAAAGTTATGGAAGTGGTAGTTAATTAATATAAAGTTTTTAGTTTCTAATTAAGTTTTGTGCATGTATGAATTTTTAGAAAATGTTTTTAAAAGGAGAATTTCCCACCATGCATTTTAGTGCTGAAAGACTTTGCAAAAGGTCAAAGTTGTGAATTTTCTTTTTTAAATTTTAACCAGTATTGTGATTGTGTTCTATTTTTATCTTCCTTTGCCCTAACTACAAGCATGTCGACATTTCACTGCAGGGTTTCATTGCTTTCATGACCTTGAAAGCTTGTTTGTCCAGAGTCCATTGTTGCAGGACTTTGCTGCTGTGAGGAAAACTGCTTTGCTCTGGGTTCAACTCTCCTTCCTTCTGTGTGGTGGCAAAATAACTTTAAAGTGTATTACTGCCTCCTAAAGGATGGAAGTGTACATTTTGGTGTCTTACTCTTGTTAAATGTAATGTGACCATTATTGAGTGCCTCTGCAAATTTGATTTGTGTTTAATTAAATTGCAATATTGATTGCAAATGCAACTAAATTCTCGGCCTTCATTCCTTTGTCCTTATCTAATTTATAAGTTAAGCTTTGAGTACAGTAGTAGTAACAGGTTTTCTGCATAATCTGACATTTATTGACAGTATTTTACACTGATACTGGTTTTCCTACCATGGAAATGTTCACTGCTAGATCATCAATGAACCCTCTTCTTTTGGGTGTATTATATCTTATTTATGTGTGTTTGTAGGTGAGCAGCAATGGAAGCGCTGCAACGGCAGAAGGTCAAACTGTGCAGACGGCTGAAAATGCTCAGGACCCTCAGCAGCAGCAGCAAGCACCTAATGCCTGGCAGGTCATCAAAGGTGTCCTCTTTAGGTACGTTTTTTGAATAAACGAGATTCTATTGCTTAATGAAAGGTAATGCATTGCGTTCATAATAGTCACTGTCCAAATTAAATTGATTTGATGGAGAATAATGGGCTTTAGTTCAGCCAGCTCTTAGTTCTTTCTGTTCCAGATCTTTGTACAGATTCTAGTCTTTCTTTCTGTCTTTCTAATCTGAGTCATCGTCTTTAGAGACGGACAAAAGAACTTTGCTTTTCGGAATTAAGCGGTTAAAAAATAGGTCTGATCTTGGAACAGTAAACTTTTTGAAAGTCTCTTTTTTTTTATTTCCCCATTTATATTTCCAGACATGGTTATTTTCTGTATTTTCTAACAGGCCCAAATGTTCTTTTAACACACAATAGTCCCCCTTCTTCCATCTTCATTTGCGTAACCCACATAAAAAAATAGATTCAAGTATCGACTATTTTTTTCATGGTTAAAAATTGATCTCTTTAGTTACTGTGTTAAAAAGGATCTATCTTTTTTGGTGTTGTCTGTAAGTTGCACTTGGAATTTGTTTTTTCCTGTTCTTAGGCTTTAGTTGCATTTGATTTTTTCTTTTTTCTGATTACATATAAGGTTTAATAGGAAGGGATTGTTTAGGCAAAGACATTTAAAGCACAGCGTGTTTACACCAAAATAAAACGTTTTAGTTTTAGAGTAAGCAAAAAATACTATTATTATTATTATTATTACAGTCACTTAAATGTAGTCATGCAGTATTGATTCCCCCCTAACTGAATTAAAAAGACACTTCTTCTTTCTAGATGTTATACTATTTCTACCTTTAAACTTTTTAACCTAAATAACATTTTCACTATTTTGATATTACTTTGTTCTCCAGAATCTTCATAATTTGGGCAATCAGTAGTTGGTTCCGCAGAGGGCCATCCACTCCTGATCCGAACACACCAGCAGGGGCCCCCAGAGTACCCAGCAGGAACCTGTTTCCTAAAGACACCCTCATGGTACATTATTCTTCTTCACCCTGTTTCCACTTTTGATCTATTATTTTCTTGATGTTTTTATCCTTATTCCAAATTTACAGATATGCAAGGATCTAAACAAGTAACATATATTTATTTTTATATATTATTTTTTTCATTTGTGTTTACTTTTTATTTCTTTTTAAGTTTGATTCTTATGAAATGTGAATATAAGTTATATTTATCAGTTTATTTTCCATTTAAAAAAGTTAAGATCTAGCAGATATAAGATACACTTTACTGATCTCACAAAGGAAAAATCCACTCCTTTGAATTTCTCCCTTCATTTTTTGAGTGAATTTCTCCTTTGTGAGATGAATAAAGTCTATCTTATGTTATGTATAGCTTACCCAGCGCCATAAATATTAAAAGGTATGGGGGTACACAGACTGTAGGTCATGATGCACAATTCTGATTGGTTTGCCGAGATTCCTTTTTTTTTCTGCATGGTCGTTAAGAAAACTGCATAAATGCAGCCATCATCAGATTAAAGTCTGAATGGTTCATGGCCTGAATGCAATCCCCAGATTGACATTGTAGACCTCACACAGCTACAGATATAAGCATCTCTGTGGTCATTATAAGTTCTTGAACAATTGGAGCTGACGATATAATGATCACATAATAAGATGAACGGTAATAAAAAAGGATGAGCTATTCATAATGTGTTTTTGTGGAGCAGTGACTGCTGTATTGGAGAGCAGTCTGTATGAATGAGTAGTCGGAGCCTGGATGATGAAGTGAGTCGGACCAAATGTATCATGACCGTTCAGACCACAGACGCTTTAAGAAGATATTGGATACAAATCCAATTTAGTGCCACATGTGGAAGTGGTGAATTTTGATTGTTTTGGTGGTGAAAAGATTAGAATTTTGTCACATTTGCTTGCACTTTGAACGTAGCCCTAAATGTGTAAACCTCAAGACCTTAATTCCTGAACAGCACTTGTATTGTGATCCCTAAAGTACTTGTACCCTAACTGTTATGCTCTCAGCTCTCCTGATGCTGTAATGTGATAAACACCTTTCTTTTCTCACCGTGCCTGCAGGACCTGTACGTGTATGTGTCCCAGGAGGAGGTGTTCACTGACTTCAACAATACAGATGCCCTGTTTTGGTTCAACAGAGACCTGGTCTATGGAGACTGGACCACAGGGGAGAGTGGAGATGGCTGCTACCACCACAATAAAGAGTTAGAAATCTCAGAGGTAGGGGTATCTCAGGAGGGGTGCTTGAGAAATAAGTTTTTGTTTTTGACCCAGAATGTATTTTTGGTGGCTAATTACAGAAAGTACAACAGAACGGCTCCCTTTACATCCACGTCTTCTTCACTAAAAGTGGATTCCACCCTGACCCAAAACGCAAGGGGCAGTACCGCAGACTGGCAACAGTGCATTCATCAAGAAGTAAGGACCAGGAATACACCAATTAAATAACCTTTGCTAACTTTTACCTGTATTATGTTTATACTCATTTATTTTTCCATTTCTCAGTGCTTAATAAATTCAAGAGGAGGAAGTTTCTGAAAACCAAGAATCTGCTCACAGGAGAAACTGAAGCAGATCCTGAAATGATCAAGGTGAACTGTCACCCAGTACAAAAAATGTGCCAACCCTTGCAGTTTTTCAGCT